TGATGAAAGGCGTGTTTGGCTTGGCACAACAAAAACAAGTCAACTAACGGCGGTAAACTTAACGCTAAAAAGTGCCAACTGAAAATCAAAAAGAAAAAACAAAAAAAAGAAAGAAAATAGGAAAAGGGAAAGTTGAAATAAGTTGAAAAGCACTGAATTTTTGGTGCCCCCGCTTCTTCATTTTCCCTTTCTCTTTCTTCCCTTTTGGTTTTCTTATTTCTCTCCTTCCCTTTTCATATTGTTCCATTATTTCCTTTTAATCTCTTTAATTCAAATCCTAATTCGTCTATCCTTGTTCCATAAAAATCATATTGCTTTTGAATTCCTTTTTTATTCAAAACCCTAATTCCTCCCTCCTCTATTTTTACTTTTTTATTTCCTTTTTTGAATCAAAACCCAGATTGACATAATACCTTCCAGAAATTGGTTATTTCTTCAATTAGATTCTCCTTTTCATCAACAGGAAAGAAATCTACAATGGACCATAGCTGGTATCCACAATTGACCTAATTAATGCTTGATGGTTGGTAAGTCTTAATACTTGTTATTAATATTGTGCATTTAATAGTATTGTCCATTTATTGTTCAAAATACAGAGAAATTTATGTTTTGAACTGAACATTGTAGATTTAGAATTGAATTTATGATTCTTTCATTTGTCATCTATCATTGTAGTGTTATCCAAAAGTTTTTCAAAATTAGAACTTTTTCCTCCCTAAAGCTTCCAATTTCAAGGTTCCGTCGCTCTTTAAGTTTTGGGTTCTTTGGAAGACATAAGAGGGGTTTTTCTTAGTTTAGGGTTCTTTGGACGGCAGAAGATGGCTTTTTGTTTTGTTTGATGAGTGTAGGTTTTTTTTTGTAGGGATTGTGTTGATGACTCATCAATTGTTATTTCTTATTTCTTTTCTTTTCTTTTTAATAAAAGTTCTCTACGTTAAGGAGATAACGGAAAAAGCCATTTCTATTGTTAAAATGGACCCCACGTCTTATATTATAACTGCAAAATACGAGGCCAAAGCCAAGCCTCAAGAATGTAGACTGCAGGGGACCTTAGGAAAAAAGGCTGCAGGGGATTCGCGCCCCACGTTACTATACTAGCACTGTTCGCATAATGCGGCTGTGGTGAAATTAGACGGGCACAAATCCCCTGCTGTCCCTTACCCTGTGGTCCCCTACTGTTAGCTGATGAAATGCGTGTTTGGCTGGGCACAACAAAAACAAGTCAACTAACGGCGGTAAACTTAACGCTAACAAGTGCCAACGGTAAACCAAAAAGAAAAAACAAAAAAAAAGAAAGAAAATAGAAAAAAAGAAAGTTGAAATAAGTTGAAAAGTATAGAATTTTTGGCACCCCCGCTTCTTCACTTTCCTTTTCTTCCTTTTTGGTTTTCTTATTTCTCTCCTTCCCTTTTCGTATTATTCCATTATTTACTTTTAATTTCTTTACTTCAAACCCTAATTTGTCTCTCCTTGTTCCATAAAAAACATATTGCTTTTGAATTCATTTTTTATTCAAAACCCTAATTCCTTCATTCTCTATTTTTACTTTTTTATTTCCCTTTTTGAATCAAACCCAGATTGACATAATACCTTCTAGAAATTGGTGATTTCTTCAATAAGATTCTCCTCTTTATCAACAAGAAAGAAATCTATAATGGACCTGAGCTGGTATCTACAATTGACCTAATTAATGCTTGATGGTTGATAAGTCTTAATACATGTTATTAATATTGTTAATTTAATCGTATTGTTCATTTATTGTTCATAATACAGAGAAATTTATGTTTTGAACTGAACATTGTAGATTTAGAACTGAATTTATGATTCTTTCATTTGTCATCTGTCATTGTATTGTTATCTAAATTTTTTTCGAAATTGGACCTTTTTCCTCCCTAAAGCTTCCAATTTCAAGGTTCCGTCGCTCCTTGAGTTTAGGGTTCTTTGGACGGCAGAAGATGGCTTTTTCTGAGTTTTGGGTTCTTTGGACGTCAGAAGATGGCTTTTTGTTTTGTTTGATGAGTATAGCTTTTTGTTTTGTTTGATGAGTGTAGGTTTTTGTTTTGTAGGGATTGTGTTGATGACTCATCAATTGTTATTTCTTTTTTTTTTTTTTAATAAAAAGTTCTCTCCGTTAAGGAGATAACGGAAAAGGCCATTTCTATTGTTAAAATGGACCCCACCTCTTATATTATAACTGCAAAATACGTGGCCAAAGCCAGGCCTCAAGAATGTAGACTGCAGGGGACCATAGGAAAAAAGATTGCAGGGGATTTGCGCCCCACTCTTTACCTTTTCTGCCTCATTTCGGATTTCTTGCTCTTTCAAAAAACAAAAATTTAAATCACTATACACGCGCGAGAGATCTATCACTATATATCCCAACTTTTCATATATATATATATATATATATATATATATATATATATATATATATATATATATCAATGGTCGTATAAAAAAAATGTAGCTCTCTAAGTTCATAACCAGAAAGAGGAAAAGAGACAGTAAGTTACAAAATCTTCCCCAGTAGAACAAGGTTCATACTATGTGGAAAAGAGACAGTAATTTGATTATTATCCTTTCTTTTATTTTCTCTTCTCTTTCTTATCCAAACAAGAATAACTATCATTTCTTTTATTTTCTCCCCTGTCTATCCACACATGAATAAAAATTATTACTATCATTTATTTTCTTTTCTCTTGTCTCCTAACTAATACTTTCATTTCATTTCTTTTCCCTCCTATGTATCTAAACGCACTCTTAGAGAAGAATTAAGACTTTGTTTGGTATAGTGAAAAAGAAAAGAAATGACAATATTAATTAGAAGGGAAATAAAAATAATGAAAATGAGAGGATAATGTAATTGTTTGTTGTGTTTGGTTGATTAATAAAGAAAATAATACTAATCATGTTTGGGGGAAATAAATGAAATTTCTATCCCTCCAAATCATTCATTTTCATTTCATTTCATTTCCATCCAACATTTTCTACTAAACACATTTTTTTTATTTCCTTCCATTACGATTCTTTTCTTTTCCTTTCATTTCCATTCTACCAAATTGGGCTTTTAGGGTCAGTTTGGTAGAGTGGAAATGGGAGGAAATGGAAGGGAAGGTGATGGAGGGGGATTAAAAATTTGTGTTTGGCAAAAATTGTTGGAAGGAAAGGAAAGGGAAGGGTTTGGAGGGTTAACTTGTGCCTTCAACAGTAAATTTCTTAACCTCCAAAAAATGGGAGGAAATGAAGGGAAAGGGAAGGAGAGGCTTGGTGTGTGATTTCATATGCCAATCTTGCCCTTGATTAGTTGATTTAGCAGTTGCAGAGAGAGAGGAAGGCAAGCTTGAGAGTTGAGAACGGCGAAGCTTGCTTGCGAACGGCGAACCCGAATTGGAACAGCGGGCGATGGAAACTGATATGGGTTTTGATCGATATGGGTTTTGATTTTTTGAACAATCTGAAATTGGGTTTTGATTTTTTGAACAATCTGATGTCGATATGGGTTTTGAAGTTTTGATTCTTGCAGACAAATATATAAACTGAAATATATGGATTTTGAAATTCTGATTCTTGTAGTAGTTTGTAGTTGCACACAGAGAGAGAGAGAAGTTCGGCGTTGAGAACAAGAATAGAGGATGGAGTTGAGAACGAGAAGAGAGATGGAGTTGATTTACCTTAAAAAAATTTGCCCTAATTTTTTTTTTCCTACGAGACAAATATATATATATATATATATATATATATATATATATATATATAAATTTATATTTTAAAATATAAAAGGGCATAATAGTAAATTTATTACAATAATTCTCCTTCCTATCCTTCCTTTTCTTTCCCCAAACATGATTATTATCCTTCCCTTTATTTTCATTCATTAATCAACCAAATACAATAACAAATTAAAATTATCATTTCCTTCCCTTTCCCTCATAACTAATGTTATCTTTCCCCTTCAAACCCACCCTACCAAACACAGGCTTATGGTATGTTTGGTTGGAGAGAAGGATTGGGAGTGATGGATTAGAGCCTGTAGAGGTGGAACAAAATAACTTCTTCGTTTGGTTAGAGGGGGGAGAAGATAGGGAGGAAATAAGGAGGGATAAACTTTCTTTATTTGTATTTTCCTATCCACCCAAAATTGGGGGAAGAGGAAGAGAAAATTTTCGTGCGCTCGTTGAGGAAGAGAAAAACTTCCATGCGCCCGTTGCACCGTGCAACGGGCACATCTAACTGTTTATTATTACGTGTGTATTACATGGACGATCTGTGCAACGGACGCATCTAACTGTTTATTATTGCGTGTGTATTACACGGACGATCCGGATACTCCTGTTACACGGTGTAACAGACGTAAGAATTTTTTTTTTTTTAAGATGAGAGAGAAAGAAGGATCATAATTAAAAAATATATAATTTACATTTTTAACCTTTTCAAGTTAAGTGCTATTGCATTAATGAGGGTATATTGATAAAAATAATATAAAAACTCTCTCTCCTTCCTTCCAACCAAATAATAATAAAAAAGAAGTGTTACCCATCTATTATTTCTACAATCTATTCCCTCTCACCAAACAAAAAGTGAGGGAAACATATTCTCTTTCCTAGGATGCCTCATCCATCCCTCCCTCTCTCCTTATCATTTATTTTTCCATTTCTCCCACCAAACGAAGCATTAGAGAACCATAAAAATCATACAGAAGGGTGTCATATGACTTGTAAAAAATGTATGCAAAACTGAAAAATAAATTGTTAAAATGAAAAAACAAAGAAAAAAATTGGTTGATATAATTATTTGAAAACACAAAACAACTCTAGAAAATAAACTAAAAACATTTTTTTAAAGATGAACCACCTTTTAACTCTTTTCTCGGAAGAATAATGATACTATTCCAACTCTTTGACTTCGATTACGAAAGAGGGGAAAATGATTTGTTGGGGACCGAAATAAAATTTAAAGATTTACTAAAACCGAATTATATTTTATTCGACAAAATCCCAAACAAGCCCAAAAAAATGAGTTGTATTTGCTTAATCACTTACAGTCCCATGGTACAATCCGCAGGCAATCACAACCCGTGCCAACTGTCCAACTGCCTCAACTGAGCCGAGTCTGCTTCCGGTCACTATAAATACGGCGTTACTTGGCGCCTGATTCATTTTTAACTTCCACACTCCCGAGTGTTGCAGAGACCTCTTAACAGCGAGATCTTCGTTAACGATATTCTAGGGTTTTTCTTCGATACAATTCAAATGCGAAATCTAAACTCTCAAAGTTGCAGACTCATTGAGATCGAGAGCTTAGAAAACTGATTTCTAGGGTTTAATTCGTTCCGATTCAACTGACGGACTCTAAATCCTAAGCATCGAAGTTGACTTGAGCGCGAGAGCTTCGAGAACAGATTTCTAGGGTTTTCACTACTCGTTCGATCTGTGGTTTCATAATGCATAAGCTGATAGGGCTATCAGGCATGAAGAGTTTGGATCGCTTCAAATCGCTGCCAGGAGCTCCTTCGGGAGCAGAGAAAACCTATTCGATCTCTTCAAGGCAGCCTTCGGTTTCAGCTTCATCTGGAAGCTTTGCGAATTTGAAGCTCACTGCAGGTTTTTTCTATGAAGTATCAGATTATTGTGATTTTGTTTTTCCAGGAAAAGAAAGTTGAGTGAATTTGATGAATTATTGTTATTCATTTCAGAAAAAATGGTCAAAGAGCAAGCTTCTGCAAAAACTGACCTTGAATTGGTGGTAAAATGAAGCTCTATCTATCTCTTTCTATATTTTATATTATACTCCGTATTAAATGAGTAACTCCATAATTGTCATTGTGATGCTCCAAGTATATTTGATTTATTTGGATTGAACAGTACTCTTATCTAGAAGTTTGATAAATGCAGAGTTCTAAATTGAAGAAATTAACAGAGCACGTCCGTGCATTGGAGGAAAAATTGCAGAATGCATATAATGAGAATGCGAAGCTCAAAGTGAAGCAGAAAGAAGACGAGAAACTATGGAATGGACTGGAATCAAAATTCTCTTCAACAAAGACCTTTTGTGATCAACTCACTGAAACTTTACAATACTTGGCAGCACAGGTTCAGGATGGTAGGTATTCTTTATCTTATGTAACTTTCAGTAACCATGTTTAGATATGTTCCACAGTTTTAAATGTTTTAGACCTGTATCCTCCACAGCTGCGAAAGACAAGGCATTTTTTGAAGACAAATTATCTACAAGTTCGATGGCACTTGATAATTTGCACCACCAGATGAAGTCTATGTCTTTGAAATTAGAGTCTTCAGAGGAAACTGTTAGAAATCGTGAGCAACATGTTCCTTCTTATTTTACAAAAAGTTGCACATTCATAGAAACTTCTGACTTTTGCTTGCCTCACTTCATTTTGTCGTTATGAAATATTTTTGAATTCTTACTGTAGGCGAACAAGAGCTGAAGGAACTCAGCATTGAGAAACAGGAAAAGGAAAAATCATTCAGAGATGAACAGTGCATAGCTGCAAATCGCATTGAAGAAAAAGGTGAAAATCGTTCTAATGTTGCTGTAGAAGCCACTTGTTAATTAACTTGTGATAGACTGCTACTCTAGTTAGCCTCTCTCTGAACTGGCTGCCTTTACAGCATGTTAGGAGAAAATTTACAAATGAAAAATTTTAGACTGAAAAGACCTCAAAATATTGAATTATGCATCAAGGATTGCCTCATGAAGAAGCTCAGCGAAAACACCTTGAGGTCAAAATCCCCTATTGTCCACATCATACCTTCAAACTTGAGGAAGGTGCATATGAGGCACATGCTTCCTGTATTATCTTTAGAAATTTAGGAATCATGCCTCACTCGTTATTTTCGCCTTATGTTTGAGGAATTAACTGGTTTACTAGAAATTGGGTTTTTAAATGTAATCGAAATTCTAAAGATAATCAGACACTTACTGTTGTTGATCTTGTTATTATTGCTAAATAACGGTAAGGCATGCTGAATTGAATTGGTTAGTGTTTTTATTGCTAATATTGCTGTTGCCGTGCCTTCTTCTCCTTTATCAGAAATATTGCTGATATTACAGGTTTCACTTAATGCCTTTTTTTTTAGTTTCTCGGTTGGTCATTTTTTACTTAAATGATTTTTTTAGTTTCTCGGTTTCACTTAATGCACTTTTAAGCTTGAAAATCCCTTAGAGCCCCTGTAACACAAGAAGCATTTCTCGCTATATGTTGACAGAATTTGGGGCTGGGAGCTGCAATATTTTTGGGACTAATTGATTACCATTTTTAGTTTTATCTTCCATTGGTTGACGACTGAAAATAATTTGTTTTCCTATATGAACATAGGCAGAAAGATACATGAACATAGGCAGAAAAATAAAAATAGATTCCAAATATTTTTGCCTTTTTTGTATTATCACGGAATGATTATCAATTGATGCATACATGAAAATATAATCATTTCTGCTAAATCAGCTGGCAAATTATCTCTTTGAGGAGTAGGGACTACATTCTAGACTAGGTTTGGCAATCATTCCCCTGCTTAGTTGACTGACACACAAATGGTTGTTTGGGCAGAATACTTCTCACAAATATTCCAAGTCAGGAGATACCAATTATTCCAAATACCCTCACTTTCTCCATTTGAATTACACTACTATCCATCCCAGTTGTCCAATCCAGTCCAAACAAAAGAAAACAGGGTTGGCAGTGTCTTAAATCTGGTTAAGTTTGGTCTTAAGCTAAATGTTGAACAAGAGTCATCCCTTTGTCTGACCTAGTTATTGATTGCACTGCTATATTTTTACCCTTCTTGGGTAATCCAGTGCACCAAATGACTAATGCTGAGTTTCTGAAAATCTGTAATAATAGTATTGCTCATGTTCATGAATGTGCTCATTACACCAACTGGCTCATGTTGCTGCGTTTCAAGACATTGTTATGATATGCTGATCAGATTTCTGGAGTTGTAACTTTTTCTTTTTACGGATAATTTCTGGAGTTGTAACTTCTACATGTCATTTATCTTACTTGAACTCTGTGTGTCACTTAATTGATAAATAGAAGACCATTTCTTATCTAAATTAATAAAAGCTTCACTGTCTTTTGCATGCAGATGCCACGATCCAGAATTTAGAAGAAACTGCAGCAGCTAATAGATTGGCTATAGAGAGTTTGAACTTGAAGTTGGAAGAGTTGCATCTTGATTTGAGATTAAAGGAAGACGACCTTATACATTTGAGAATCTCTGAGGAGAACTTGGAGAAGGAAAAGAGTGATCTTCTATCTAGCTACAATGATCTTGTTAAAAGATTAGATATTGCACACCAGGAAATAAAAAATCTTGAAGATTTTGTCAAAATGCTAGCTGCAAAGTTGATTGAACTCGATAAACAAAGTTTGACCTTCTCAGACAAGGTGGTTGAGCTTAACACTTTGTATGACTCATGCTTTCAGTTGGCTCAGGAAGAGAAAGACCTTGCTGCTCAGTGTGCTCAACAACAATACAGTGGACTCCATGATCAGTCCTTGCATGTTACATCAGAAAAAGATGCATTACAATCGCTAAATCAGGAGTTGAATAACAAGATCATTGAACTTCAGAAGGTCCAAGAATTTGCAATGGTACAGCATGCAGAAGAATGCCGTTTAGCAGAAGACAGAATTCGAAAATTTGAGTGTGAAGTAGAAACTCTACTTTCTAAGAAGACTGAAATGCAACTGTTGGTTACTGAATTAGAAAAGAAAATTGGTGCTTTGACAGAAAGTTCAAGGTTATCTGAGAATAAAATGGTATATTTTCTTTACTCATCTTTGATATATTGAGCATGCTTTGTCGTTTTTCTGATATGCTTAACCTTTTCCTTCTTGAACCATGCAGCAAGATTTATTGTTGAAATTTTCAGATTTAGAATCTGAGAACAGAGTTTCTACAGAAAAACTGCAAGCAGAAATACAGGAAAAGACAGAAGAAATTTGTATTCTACAGAAGGAGGTCACGAAGCATGAACAGAATGTAGATTCGCAGGAGAGACAAGTCAGCCAGCTTCATAATACCTTAGAGGAAAAGGAACAGATTATTATGCAATACAAGGACGGAGAAAAACAACTGGAAGATAAAAAAACAGAGGTTTTATTAGATTTACTTATTCTATGGAGCCAAATTTCGACCTCTTGGATATCTATAAAGTATCCAATATACAATTGCAGATTCAGGCATCACTGGTGGATGCTGAAGGTAAACTTGTGGAAGCTAAGAAGCAATATGATCTGATGCTTGAAAGTAAACAGTTAGAATTATCAAGGCATTTAAAGGAAATTTCTCAGAAAAATGATCAGGTTTTTTCCTTTGCCATTTACCTTACATGAATATATGAAATGGTTGGGCAATTTTGTTTACAGTGACACTGAGAGGTTTTCCCATCAGGCCATCAATGAAATCCGGAGGAGGTATGAAGTGGAGAAACTGGAGTGTGTCAATATTGAGAAAGAAAAGGTTCGATCATAATCATTACCAGCTGCAATATCTGTTGGTCATGAATTGTGTTCTTACCTGCTTGAACCTTCAGGCAGACAAAGCTGTTCAAGAATTGGAAAGAAACTGTGATCTAAAGCTTGCAAAATGCAAAGAAGAATCAAGACAGAACTTGATGCGAATACAGGAAGAACATGCTGCTTTGGTATGTAGCAGAAAGTGATTCAAACTTAAAATTAAATGGTTGATAATTGTGAATTTTCTTTCTTTCTGCAGGGTTTATTTTTAATGGCTTTGTAATCATTATATATTTTTTTACTTGATTTTAATAAAAACATCTTATATTTTAGTTCTAACACATTCAAGACCATCTTACAGTTGCAGAGTACTAACTTGCATTCTGTAATAGTCTCAAAGCTTTGTATAGTGATATGGACTACCACTTCCTTCCATATCATGTTATTGAGAAAGTAGCGTTTTGGTTCTACATACTGTCAGTGAATCTATGGGGCAAGTCAATCTACAGTCTATGGCCATGAATGTAATTTTTAACAATAAAAATGTAAGAAACTGAAAAGGAAAAAAAAGAAAGTGTTTACCCTTTATCTCCAAATTGTTGCTGTTCAATTTTATAGAGCGGAGAAGGTGTTGAAGGCAAATTTTTGCATGCACTTTATTATGTTTGCTATTTATATTGATTTGAGGATTTATAAACAAAAACTGCAATCTTAAAATTAAAATCTTACAGAATCAATCTTCATTGTGTCCAATTTGTAGGTCATTCATATCAAGCAAGACCATGATTTGAAGGAGTTGAATCTCAAGTCTAAGCACAGTGAAGAACTAAAGCGTGCCCAACTTCAGGCTGAAAATGAACTGAGAGAGGTACATTTATCTATAAACTAATGTCTGAACTGTCATCTTTGACACTGATGATTGTTCTGATTGCTAACTGTTCCTGATTTTTTTCTAGAAAGTGACGCTACTTAGGAATGAACATGAAGTTCAGTTAAGAGCTTTGAGGTGTCAGCTTGAAGATGAGTGCAAGAAACTTCAAGAGGAGTTGGATCTCCAGAAGTCCAAAGTCTGTATTTCTCTCAATTGCTATTTAAATTTAGTTATCTTTACTTCTTTTTTTTGTTTGTTTTAATAAAAGAAACATGATCGAGTATATGCAGGAAGACAGGCAGAGGGCTTTATTGCAATTGCAGTGGAAAGTAATGAGTGACAAACCACAAGAGGAACAAGAAGTGAACTCAAAGAAGGTCAGTACTATGTATAAAAGATATCTTCCTCCCTCCCTTTCTCTCTGCCTCTACCTTCGTGTGTGTGCGCGTGCGTGAATATTCCTCCATCCATCTGTCTAGAGCTCCCTCTCTCTCCCTCTGTGTGTGGCTTAAACAGACGTGAACAAATGCTAATCCTTGGCACAAACAGTTGTTTATCTTGATGTTTTCTTGTTTCTATATTTTTCCCAATTTAGATTCATTGTATTTTAAATGAAACATAGACTTTTGGTTGCAAGCATAAGAAGTTTGATCAGTTTTCAGTAATTATTTATTAGAAGCTACCTTAATTATGCTTTCGATTAGTGTCTACTGACCATTGGTTACCGTAATTCTGTTAAAACTACAACAGCTAAAGTTTTCTACAGTGTGTAGAAGTAATTCATTGATTGATCCGTGTCGCTTGTGTGTTGTGATTCCCATCACAACTAGATTATTTTCTGTAGTTAGTGCTAATTTATTTGAGTTGGGTTTCGAGATAGTGTTCGAATTTTCTTGTTTTAATCGTTGAAATCTTAAGCTACCCCCTTTGAAACTGCCTTTTTAAAATGGTTTTGATGTACATCAAAATAGTCATATAACTTGTTTGGACTTGCAAGATTGAAGAGGTGACAGGTAGTTGCTTTTGAAGAGGTAAAAGACAACAAAACATGAAGTATCTTAGGATCTATTCGCAACATAATCTTGCAAAACACTGACAGCCAAGGATGGTATCATGAAACATAAACTAATAACAGATTGAATTAACCGAAGAGAACAAATTGAATCCAAAGTCTGATTTTCAACTCCAAATTAAACTAAATTTGTCTCTTTGGCAACAGTATATGTTTAACAAATTTTAAAGGCAAGGTTTAAATATCAACTTTGAGTGTAAATTCAGTCTTTTGCAACTGTAATTCTTTCGCAGAACTGTTGGAAATTTTGTTTCATGGTCTGCATGGCAGTCATTTGCTAAGACAATATGGTGAAAGAAAGGCTTGCATCCCTACGGAAATCTTTGATGATAACATGTACCTCTTGGTAGAATGATGAATCATAATAGTTGTGATTGAGTTACTTTTTATCTTTTGGTCCAGTTAATAGATATGGCCTTTATGTAGTTGAGCTATATATGTATCATATATACTAGCTTTTGCATAGATTAGGTAGTCTGGACTCCAGGGGCATCATGTTGGTTGCCTTCCTATTCCTATTAACAATAAAAGTTATTCATGCTTATGGAGTGCCTGATAACATTGGTATATAGCGTCTTCTGCCAACATGAAAACCCGTAATATTCAGTAATGATATATATATATATATATATATTAATATGATCCAAAAGACAACTGAAATTGTCTTATTCTCTAGGATTTTCTCCAACAAATACTGCATTTCCTGCTGTGATTTTTAGTCATCCCTTTGTATTAATGTGGAAAGAGTAGTTTTTTCTGTTCCTGTTTACCCCAAACCCCTCCCCCCCCCCTGATTCTTGATAAAGACAAACAAACTCAACCTGTAGACTGTTTCATTTGCAGTAATGGCAATTTAATTAACAAAAGTTGGATGTTACAAGCTTTATGACACAGAAGAATTTTTTTATTGGAAGCTTGCTTTAAGGTAGATCTAAAATGTGAAACAACAACTCAATCTATATACTCGTTCATTCTTCTAACAATATCAATTTGGTAACCTCATTTTATCACAGAATTACTCAATCTCATCAAGCAAGATGAGAAATTCTGATGGTCGCAGGAGAAGTCAGCGTGCTTTGGATAATGCAGAGAATGATGAGAAGGTGATAAAGAAAGCAACAGATAAGGTTGGATTCCTTCTTATAATTTCGTTCCTTGTTGATTCTATGATATATAGTCATTGTTTGTATTGCTGTGTTGGTCGTAGAATTCATCTTACCTTAGAGCGACACAAACACCAGTGTCAAACTTGTTGAAGAAAACGGAGAATGTTAACACAGGAAGTGTAAGGAGTATTCCAAAGCATAGTAGGAAGGTGATTACTTCTGTTCTCTCTTCTTCTTCTTCTTCGTCTTCTTCTTTTGTGTGTGTGTGTGTGTGTACACATCAATGACGTAATATATGTGTTTCTTGTAAAATTAGGAATGTATATATTCAGTTTGTGTACCAAGAAGCATAATTTTAGTTGGTAGGTGCATAGATGGTTTAGAACAGAAATAAGTTGGTAACTTTGGATGCCTATATGGAATAGGACTTTGTGTTGTTGCAACCAGGCAAAAGAAAAGAAATTCATCTGCAATCATAAGAAATTGTGTATTATCAGTATAATTTCCTCAGAAATATTAAATTCAAAAGTTTGGCGCATTTGTATATTGCTTATGCATATATTCTAATTGACCTACACGTCCTACATTTATCCCACCGACCTTTCCTGAATCTACTCTATGGAATGGCAGGTTACTCACCATGAGTATGAAGTTGAGACGTCTAATGGAAGAACAATTACAAAACGAAGAAAAACAAGAAGTACAGTCATGTTTGGGGTATGCACATTCTCTTTTCATAAGCAACATGCATTTAAGGGTTAAATATCTATATGAATTACATTGAATATATCAAAAACTAGCATGGCAGGCTTCTTATGTCTATATTGTATGTTTTGGTAGGACCCAAGAAAGCACAACAAGAGGGAAACACCGAAAGCTAATACTCCCAGAGAAGTTCTCAAGGTAATTCAAAACTTCATGAGTCGTATCGGGTTTTATTTTCAGTTTGAACAGTACCTCCATTTATATCTCACAAGTAACAGTAACCTTTTTCTAAATTTAAGCACAAGTGGTGGAAGGACTCCAGTCACTATCTGGAAAAGTGGTGATTAGAGAAAAATAGTTACCAACCGGAGATTAATGTGGGAACTGATCTGTCATGGTCAATTACAACTTTTAGCTTTTATGACGATTCTTTTCACTACTTTAAACCTATAAGCATGAATATAGTGTAGGAGTTTTTGTTGACTAGGTTGGTGCTGGAATTCTCCATTCTTAGTTCCTTCACTTCTTCCAAGTTGCATTATAAGGTTGGTCATGTGTTGTAGGAAAGCGATGAAAGTTTTCTGCTCCTTTGGGATTGTACATGTATTAGTGCTACGAGAACCATCATGCTTTCGCCTGTCTGAATATTTAGTTTTAGTGGTAGTTATTACGCTGTGGGCTGCCTTGTCACTAATAGCTCCCAAGATCGAAATAGTAGGAAAAGTTAAGTGGCATTACTAATTGACATTAACAAGGTTAAGTAGAATTGTGACAAGACTTGACGTACTTGCACTTCATATTAACTAATTGTCAGCAATCTTCTTGGATATGCTTTAAGTGCATCTTCATCACGTTTAAGGTTTATTACGTGTTAAATCCTTATGCAGGGAACTAAGGGAGGGAATCATCCAAACCCTTCCAACATAGGTGATTTGTTCTCAGAAGGGTCTCTGAATCCATATGCAGATGATCCCTATGCATTTGATTAGAGGTATTCTAATCCTCAACTTAAGCGTATTAAATTTTTCTTCATATTAAGCCGAGTGATCTTTATGAACTCAAAACGTTGTGCAAATGGATTTGAGTTTTGTATATCTCACCATAGTGTTGTAGTTGATATTATAATATATGTTAAACAAATTTGATTTTTACCCATCCTATAGCTGGAAGTGCAAATGGATTTGAGTTTTCTGTATCTCACCAAAGTATTGTAGTTGATATTATAATTTGATGTCCTCATTCAATTTCATTTTATTTTGTTTTCTCTCCCTTATTCGAATTCTTATTCTTTATATATTTTTTATTTTTCCTTTGGTGAGATATGTTAGTGAAAGTCTGCAAAAATGTGTGTATTCCATTTAGGGAGTTGACAATGTAGCAGTAAAACTAGCATGTTTTCATATCTACTGAAATTTTGGAATTGGCCAGAATTTTCATTAGAATGCTGATCTTTCTTTATCCAAGTTTTAGAATATTCTGTTACTTTCCTACATTAAAGACCATTTAAACTTTGTATCTACTAGTTGCTGTTACCATCTGAAAGTCAGCATTGGACAGTCACGAGTCGTAACTATGTAAGCCGACTTGACTTTGCATGCATTTTGAACTCATTTGCTACGGTAGCTATGAAAATAATGCTAGTTGTACTCTGGTTTGTTCTAAAGCTTTAATTGACTTCTCTACCTTGCCAGAATTAATTTAAGAGGATTGAACAAATTTGACTCACGCAGCACTGAAGCTCGACTTTCTTGTTCTTTTGCAGGCCGGAAGAATTCTCTGTGGTCCTTCTGAACTGCTTCCCTGATTGCAGAATGACATGAAAATTTTCTCACGTTGAGTCAAGAGTAGATGCATCTTGTAATCCATGGAGTTGAGATTGTCTTCTAATATTCAGTTTTCATTGTCAGACTTGGTGTATTGGTTGTTAAACCTCGGTGTTCGTGTAGCAAAAGGTTTGAGGAAAAGGCGAAGACCTCTGAAAATTGTCTGAATAATGGGATATAAACATCTTAGTTTGTGGATATATTAGGAATGTGAATTGTTACGTAGTATATCAAGTACAAAATTGACCATTTAAGGGGTTCAGAGGAGTTTGTTGACATAAGAGTTTCTCATAAAATTTCTCAGATTTCACAGTGTGATATTTTGGCTGGCTATTTGAGATGATTTGTGTTGTCGGGGACGTTTTCTTTTTGCACAGAAATACAAAATTATGAATGCTGGTAAAGTTGCAGGTAAAATATTGACCTAATTAAGTGTTGCTGAACCTGTTAATTGTGTGGTACAAATTGTTGTTTTAATTGTCATTCCCGTTGTTGTTGCTGTCACCAATTTTATTATTTGAACTTTGGCTTGAACGATCTCTGAAGCAACCTGTACAAATTTTAGGGTTCGAAACAGGCTTTAAGCGATCCTAGTTTGTGCAGTTGTGATCTTATATTATTTTTGACGTAGAATCTGGCTTATAATAATTCCTTTTCCACATCTTCCATTTCAATTTTGCTGTTACACTGCAAATGCAGTATGAAAGGCAGTAAGTAATGCTGGTGTGACGTACGTATAACGTATTGCAATGCAGGCCTATCTGTCTATCTACCATTACCTTGTATCAGTTTGAACTACTCAGAAATGCAGCGCGCATATTTAAACTTATTCAAATTTGTTTTATATATATATAAATTGTGCCTTATTGACACTGTTATGTAGCATCTTTTCTTCCAGATGAAAATATGGATACAGATTCCATATCTTAAAAAGGTGCACATAAAAAGTTTTCGAAGTGGTAAGTTCTATTGCTCCAGAAAATCAGAAACACAACGAATTTGATGTGAAGTGTGAACCCAAGTTCTAAACTTGACACAACGAATCAGAAACACAGGAGAAAACAGATTTGGCATGGAAAAAAATGTTAATATACCTGATAATGTGTATCACATTCACATGTCTCAGCTCACCAATTCTACTTGGCGGGAAAATATATATATATATATATATATATATATATATATTTACTACTCTACATCTACCTATTCTCTTTCTTCCCAACAACCATATAACCAAATAAATAAATAAATAAATAAGGGTTGTCCTGGTAATAAATTAATAAGAATCAAGTGGAAACTTTTGGGGTTCAGTTTTTTCTGTTTACTGAACTCAATTAAGAAAATGTTTATTTTCAAATAACTTAATTATTTTATAATTTTCTAAAAGCAGTTTTGTGTTCTGAGTTTTAAAAAACTGAAACAAACAAACCTTTTTATTTATTTTTTTCTTTATGTTTTTGAGATAAAAAAATAAAAGTGAAAAAACTTTTGATAAATTGTGATTTACTTTTTGAGATTCATATATTTAAATTAATCCATTTATTTGGTTATGTTGTACCGAAAATGGGTTAGCGTATAAGTTAAGTACCAAGAGATTTCAGATTTGTAGATCTTACACAATTTAGTTAATGGAATAGCAAAATTGTAATTTGTAAGTCAAAAGACTTTGTAATAAAATCAATGAAATCATAGAACAAATAAACAAAATGATGTAAATGAGGAATTCATGCCTGAAACTTACAGATCTGTGCTCTGTTACATACAAACCATCAACGATCATGGTGGTTGATGATGCAAAAATTCAGAGAAGCAATTGAAACAGAACAATGTGGTAAAGATCACCAATGAAATTACAGACGATGCGAGTTTAGTATTGAACATAGAATTCAATCAGATACCATAGTAGTGGACGATGTGAAAAATTCAGAGGAAAGTGAAGAAAATCATCAGGAAGAGACTCCAGAGCGACAGCAGAATCGTGATCTGAAGAAGCGACTCCGTCACGCTACAGAGTCTCATCTTCCGACTCTTCACTCTCTCCCTCACCAATTCTTTCTTCAGCTCCTCCACCGCTCTCTTTAACATCATCGTCTCCCGTTCCTCATACTACATTCAAAGCAACAATATCAGTTGCAATTTCACAAAATACTCTCTCTCTCTCTATATATAAATATATAAATATATATATCTATATATCATATATGTGTGCGCGCGCTAGAAGAGAGAGAGAGAGAGAGAGATAGAGAGACCTCGTCTTTGTCGTCTTCTGTTGACTTGAGCCATGGATTTCCGGTAGATTTCAGAGAAGAAATCAGAATTGCAGCTTTTGCACAACGAATGGCGATGTGTGATTTCATTGTTTCTTCCATTTCGGCTGTGTGTGTGTGTTTTTTTTTTCAAATACTGCTCTCTAAGTTCAAAACACGGAAGCGAGGGAAATTTTGACGCTCTCTTGGTTTTTAAAAGGTGCCAACGAGGCATCAGTTGGAAAAATAGGTGGGCCCTAACACGAGCTTTTATCTGTGTGTGTATATATGCATGGATACTGTGTGCGTGTGTGTATATATACATATATATATATAGGATTTTTCTTCTAATGGCCAGGGTTTATCAAATCGGAGAAACTACTGTGGTGATTGAGCGGGTGCAGAGGATTGCAAAATAAATCAATGCGACAAGTGATATTGATTGATTCTCAGGGTTAGAGTTGGACTTCAATGTACCCACAATTTCACCTGGTTTGTTGTCTTTTTCAAATTTTTTTTTGTTTTTTTTTTTTTTGCACTTCTTGTTTTCTTTACTTCTCAATTTACTATTTGTAGACTGATAGAATTCAACCCTATAACGTGTGTAGTTCTATATTTTACTGCTACTTGTTTTCTTTACTCTGAATTGTAATTTGTACATGTCTATACTCTGCTTCTGTGTTGTTTAACGCACTTGGTCTTTTTCATTTGGTAATCGGAGGGCGTTTTTTACTAGCTTACAGTAGAGTCACCTCTAGAAACAGATTTAACTTTTCAGTTTGCTCAAAAGCTATTCTTTTGTTCTTTTGGTTTAATTTTGTCAAGCAGTGCTCCATTTGATAAGATTGATATCACTAGTGGATTTAAAGCCATTGTGCAGGTCCCTAAACTTGGGTATATCATATATGGATATGAAATATGTGTCTGTGAATCCATATCGGGGACACAGATCCTCAATTTGTTTATGCACTGCATCTAATTTTATAACATGTGTCAATTCGCCTTCTCTCTTATTAAGATTTAGGACGTAGGAAGGACGACACTCAGACGTAAACACTCGAAACTTGATGCGTGTACCCGAGTCTATGTAACATATATCTATCTGATCCTTGAATATTTCCCTTGTCCCTCCCCGTCTTATGATTCCACATGGATCCATGAGGAAATCTATGTATTTCATTTCCGATACCCAATCTCTTTTAGTGGTGGATACTTTTGCTTGCCATCATATCATATTTCTGGTGATCAGAATGCTAGTAAGGATGTGTACAATACTATATAGTTACTGCCCTGCTTGTGCTATCACATGGGAATGCCACTGGCAGAATTTGCTTGCTGAGATCATTTGGTACAATGCATTTTGTTTTCCTGTGTGATTTGTTTTTTGGAAACATGACATTCGAATCGTTAGGCTTGACAGTGCCTTGTAGCACACCACTCTGTTTTCTTATATATTCTCGGTGTGGATTAAACAACTAAGCAAGGACAGAAGGATCGTTTTGAAAATTGCTGTAAACCGGAGCTGGGAAAATGTGGTTACTATGTTATTTGTTAACATCAAAAGAGGTGTACTTCTCCAATTATTACTTATATGCTAATAGTTATGCACTTCTAGGGGCCAGTAATTTAACTCCCCATGGTAATTTACTCAAGTGCCTTTTAACATATTCAAGGATTATGAATGATTGCATGATGCGGAGATTGGTTTGTATGGATTTGTGAATCCAGAATTCATGTGTGCTTCTGGCAGCTGAATGAATTCATGAACATGATAAATTGTTTGAACTGAAAAGCATATTGGTTACTAAGAGATCAACATGACTTGTAAGAATTTAGAAACTTGAAGTTATCCCAAAACAATGTTCAGACTCAGAAGGGTCATTATCCAGTATTGAGCTAGCCAGCTAATGTAGGGTGTTGGAAGGGTGGATGAGATTAGATACCTAGCCTTTATTTCTTGCATAAGGTGGTTGCCCTCGAATTCAAACATTATCTTGCCAAAAAACCTCATCCACAGATAGAATTCCTTGGTGTTAAAATTGTTGTTGAGGTGTTTTTTTCCCATTCTCTTTGCTGGTTTATAGCTTCTGAGGCTTTCAAAAAGTAGACAAATTCTTGAAATTTTTGTATATTTACCTGTTCTTGTAATTATGAAACCTCATTTTATGGTTGAGTGTTGCAGTGACCCTCATATATTTCTAGTCGCTGGCAAAATTAAACCTGTTTATAAGAAGGCATTGATGTTATATACTCACACCTCAAGCTTTATCACTTGATGCAACTTGTAAGTGGTTTTCCTCTCTAGGATTCATAACTCTAGGTTACGTATTTCCTAAGCAAGCATATTTTAGTTTGAAGTGATTGGTTAAATTTGAATTCCGCATAACCATATATACTTTTTACTGTTATTCTGAAACAATTAGTCTTTATTTCTATTTGACACTGCTAGAACCTATAACTTCAGATTCTAGATATAGCTATCACAATTCAACATATCCTAAGGTTTGTCACGATCATCCAGCTTGGATTCCAATGCATCAGGTACGCAGGTGTTTTGGTTGATGTTGAAAGTGCATTGCCTGTTTCTGTCTTATTTATATGGTAAGATGTACCATTGTTTAGGCTCCATCACCACGATGGATTTAATTTAATGCCAGAAATTGACAAAATTAGGGGGTTGGGTTTGATAATGCATTTGCGGCTTCCTCTTAATTAATAAAATTCACTTGAAAAGATCCAAGTAGAGAGACATGGTTTATCACTGATTGCTGAACATGCTTCTTCTATTTTATTTTTATTTTTATTTTTCAAATTTAGTCAGAACTAACAATTTAGTACTCAGATTTTCGATTTTTGAAATTTTTAGCACTGTTAATTCAGTACTAAAATTGTACTTAATTTTCAGATTTATACTCTCTTCGAGGGCACTCTTTATTCTTTTCCCTGAATCAGGTACACAGGTGTTTTGGTTGATTTTGAAAGTGTATTACCTGTTTCTGTCCTATTTATATGGTAAAGATAATGTACGAGTGTTTAGGCTCCACCACCGTGATGGATTTAATGCCAGAAATTGACAAAATTAGGGGTTTGGGTTTGATAACGTGTTTGCAGCTTCCTCTTAATTAATAAAAGTCACTTAAAAAAGATCCAAGTAGAGAGACATGGTTTATCACTGAATGCTGAACATGCTTTTTATTTATTTTCAAATTTAGTCCTCAGATTTTTGATTTTTGAAATTTTTAGCACTGCTAGTTCAGTACTAATTTTTTTTTTTTTGTACTTAATTTTCAGATTTATACTCTCTTCTAGTGCACTCTTTATTCTTTTCCCTGAGATAGCAAAAAAGGATGTGAAACTGGTGCTGTCAAATTGTTGGAATGTAATTTTAGCAAAAAACTAAAAGGTGTTCCATTGTGGATTTTTTGGAATGACTCTATTCTTAACTTGTATCTGTTTCACTTTCTGAAATTTGTATACCAACATTCCAAAGGTAGAATAGAGTCATTCCAAAAATGTCTCTAATTTGTGGATTTTTCACCTTTTGTGTGGTATGCAAATGTCTCTAATCTTTGGCTTGGAATGTTAAGGCTATTAAGTATTGGTCTGTGTCTTCTTGGAATGCACTCGCAGAGATGCAAATTGATTGGATAGTTCTGATATCTGCGGGATGTTTGTTTAGTCGAACCCCCTTCTATGCGAACTCATGGAGGCAGATTACCCTACTCAGGTAGGAACTTGCACTTATGGAGCACTTTGGTTTAATCCATGCAGCTATGGGGTCCTGGACTGTCTATATTTTACGGATAACAGCACTCTTACTGAAATTATTCCTAATTTTTAGTTTAATTGTGCAAGAACCGGCTATCAGGAGAGGAATATGGTCTTCTTCCTATTTAGTCCCGTGTTTTGGAAGCTGTTGAGTTGTAGCCTGCAATCCAAACTATGGGCGGGATTTTGGAGTTAATTCATCATCACAGGATCCCGAACACTTTGTCCTGGCCATTGTACCTGTCTCACCCCAACATTAGGGGCATTGATGACTCAAAGGTAAAATAATCATTTTCCTGTATTTTCTGAATGCCAACATTTTGTAATCTTGTTTTTTTCACAGATATTTTTACTTTTGTATTGTTCCATACTTAACCATTTTGATACTCCTAAACAAAAAGGAGACTGTCCATTAAAGTGTTTTTTTATTTTTTTCCCAGAGATGGGGCTCTTCCATCACCTTTTTGGACAAATTCAGAGTACGTAATACTATCAAGGATTTCGAAAAAATAATATGCTATTATCATAGTACTAGGTAATGACTTTTTGGAGAAATTCAGAGTACGTAATACTATCAAGCATTTCGAAAAAATTATATGCTATATATTGTCATAGTATTAGGTAATGATCTTTACATGTTACCCCTACGTGCCATGACCTGATCATTTGAACCTTAATTATGATATTGCTAATAACAGAGAGACCAGAGTTCTTTGTTTCTGATTTTACTATGTTTCTCTGTAAAATATTTCATTTGACTTTTTCATATAGTGAGGTGGTTCTAAATACCATCTTGTTCCTTCTGTCATTACTTTGTTGTCGACTGAATCATAACTAGGTTCCTATTTTATCAACCATGATTTCTAGTCAAGCCGAATCGTAGATCACTCAGAGTTCATGAATTTTATCATGGGGTTCATTAAAAGGTGTATCATTTAATCATATGAATTTATTATCATGATTGAATTGTAGATTGCTAGTTTGGCATTTTATAACTATGCCAAATTGTTGGGAATTTATGCTTAGGTCCAGCAGTATAGTTGAGCTATTTCATTATAATTAATAGAACAGTATGAAACATGGGAGTCATGGACTTGAATATAAAGTTACTGGAGCATGGAAGTCTAGTTGATAGGTCTCTCTCTCTCTCTCTCTCACACACACACACACACACACACAATGAATGATATATAATCTATTATAGAAGGGACTGTCCCACACTTCTGCTTAAGCCTAGCAAGGACTTGCCCTCCGAGGAAAGTGGTCACATGGTCAGTAGCTGTTTTAGTCATGACATAAGTGTCTCTCACCTGTCTGATGCAACATTAATTCAGTCTTTTATGAAAGTCTGGTGTGTCACAAATATATTCTATAGGATATTTTTTATAAGTACATTTTCTTAATTTTGATTATGCAAACCTGTGGTCTATATATAGATCTTTTCCCAATATATATAATTTTTTTATTTTTTATTTTTTATTTTTTATCTTATCTCCCTGCAGTAGCTACTTAATGTCATGTTGAACATTTTTCATTGATTGCTAAATATCTATGCAGGATTCTCATTAATGTATCAGAAGTGGTAGTAAGAGTCTTTGCTTTAATTTATATATGGTCATGATATGTGAATATGTTAAAATGAAACATATATATAAATACACACACACACGTGCACACACATATATTATCCAAAATATTTTATATCAAGAATACACACCATGGAATGGAATGACATTGCCTCGTTTATTTTGAAAATATGATGGATGTTGACAATCTTTTTTTCTTGAAACGATACAGAACTATTTTTCCAGGTCATTTTGTTCCTATACTTACATTAAACTTCTTTTTTCTATAAGCACTAAATTAATATTAGGATATTAGATTGAAAAATTAGAGAGAACGAAATTTAAGTGCAATAATTGGATTATCTCATCTGCTGAGCTTTGTTGAACAATATCAACTCAACTTTAAATTTAACTTACTATATGCTAAAGAAAATTTTATTATAGAGATATAAATATTGTAGGAGGTAGGTGACCTTACAACTTCAATTATCTTGTAGAATTATAATTACCATGCATGCTTGGCAGGCACGTAACACACACATATATGAACTTTTCATTTAGTTTGTATCATTCGTTAAAAAAAAAAAAAAAATAGTTTGTATCATCAAAACCCAAAACAAATAATATATTTAATTTGCAGGAATGCGTTAGAGATGCATAATAGGATTTGAAAAAAGGATACATCTAACTGTATATTTTACAATATAAAGTCCCCCCCTCCCTAATTTTTCCCCTTCACAAAGAGAAGTTGAACAAAGTTAGCCAACTAAGGCTTTCTAGGCTTCAAGGTCGATATTGGACATTTAGGTTGGCACTATTATAAAAGCTGTAGCACATATATGTGCTACTAAATACCATACCAAACACTAATCTCTCTTTATATATATATATATATATATATATATATATGCTTGCTTCAACACAAGAGGCTACACCTTTTCTTGAACAAGTTGGGAGGGCTTTGCTCAGGTGGGTGCAAAAACTTGCAGTTTGGGCACGCGGGAGAAGACTTGCACATCATCACCAGCATGTGACACCTCTTGCACACAGCCGTTACCATCTCTCTATCATCACCTTCAAATGACAACCACGATGGTGTTCGGGTTAGCCCCTCCAAACTCTTCTTACTTCTACTTGAATTAATCGAGTCACTGTCACGATCATCGCCAGACTCATGCTTTGTTGAATTATGGTTCTTCACGAGCGACGAACCACATGGTAGGTTGAGCTCAAGGTCTAAGCACATATGATGATTCTTGGGACTTGGTGGCTCAGGGTCAGGGCTCAACCTCGGATCTTTTGAAGTCCTCTTCTGAGTCCTTGTGTTGTAAAAGTGTATCTGTCCAGACTGATCGAAACAAGATCTCAAGTCAGATACAGTATTATTCTCGTCCAAACACGCTTTTAAAAAAATGAGAACGTGATATTTATCTCGAATGAAAGAGTAAGGTACCTTCATATCGAGGCATTGTTGCCACTCCAAAGGTAATGGAGTCTCGAGGTGTAGCTCAGTGTTGAAGATGGACTTCTTGAGGTCCTGATGATCAACTTTAGGGTCTTCCCATTTTCTCTTCTTTGATGAAATGTTAAACTGGGACTCTGAGATTGTCTTCCCTAGAGCTTGTGAGAGGAGTGTTTGTAAGAAAACCATGGCTGCTTCTTCACTATGAGGGTGATCACTACTTTCTCTCTCTATAAAAACATATATGTGATCAGGTATACTAGTGATGCTGTTGTGGGTGGTTATATATATATAGGTGAGAGAAGCTGATGGGGCAAATTGAAGTTGAAAAGAAAAGGGCCCACCTACTGATGACGTGTTGTTCTAGTGAAGTTTGGCTTTTCAATTACTGCTATAATTTCAAGCTGGTTTTCAGAGCTTGGATGGTAACTCCTAATCAAATCTTTGGGAAAATGCTTTTAGTTTTGGCAGATTTTTTTGATCCAATGCTTTTAACATTTATGTATGTAAAATATAAGGAAGTAAGACTTCCATTTGTTTAACGATATTGGGTCAAAGAATTTTGCTAAATTTATCTATTTGAATATCACTACTCAATCTTTGTGGTTAAATACATAATATATGAACTGCACGTTCATATGTATAATATATGTATTCTAGAACTTGATCATCTGATGTACACTTTTAAATACTATATAATGTGAGCATTAGTTAATTGTATTGTATAAGTTAATTGTATTGTATAATGCGAAACATACTTGAATTTACTTTAATTTCTACAAAAAATATTTAAAAAACAAAAAATCTGCTCAACATGTACACCCAACCTTATTGCTTATGCGTGCCATGAGTGTAAGAAAAAAGGGGTCAAGCCAAAACCAAGCTTTGATCGATGTGTATATATGCTATTCGTACTCCACAATTTTCTCACATTTTTACTTTGAGTTTTTTAATAATGAAAAATGGAAAAATAGTTACTTGTTAAAAATTGTAACTTTTGAGTGTATTTTTGAAATATAATTAATGTCATTTTTTAAAAAAAGCATCCCAAATTCACGTGACTTACATTAGCCTGACACATTTAAATTAAAAAATATATATATATACATATTGTGTTTGGAAGCACCAGATTAACCCGTTAAAGTTAAAATTGGAGAAAAAATTTTCAATTTTAAATTCAATACACCTATTCTATATTCTCAATTTGTTTGGGACTATCGAATTAATATATTGGAATTATAATTTGAGAAAATTTAACTAATTATTTTTCTTTATCCGTAAATAAATGAAAAAAATTGTTATTATACAGACGGTGACGAAAATTAATTCAGGGAGGGGGGGATGGATGGAATTGTCTGTCAATAAATGGGGGAGTGTATACAGTTGAAGGTGGTCTGGAACAACTATGGGATCTTAAATGGATATAATAACTGCAAGTTCCAGAATTGGGTCACTCGATGAACCCTAAATATATCACGAAAATTTCAGAAGCTCTCTCTCGGCTATTAAAACCATCCCATGTCCCTTACCATCAACATTTTAGTCGTTCGTTGAACTACTTTTAAAGCCTCAACCCCCTCACCCATATTTAAACACAACCACATTTTATGAGCTATTTAATTGTTCTTCCTTTCTCTCTCTCTCTCTCTCTCTCTCTCTCTAGCCCTCTCATTTTCTTAAGAAACCAAAATGCATTTAACTGCAACATTTTTTAGCTAAAATGTCCCCTGTATATCATCAAGAGAAATTTAATTCTTTTGTACTTTTTATTTATGCATTTATTAAAATTACATTAACACCCTTCACGAGGAGTAATATAGGGTGAGCTGGGCCAGTGAAAATCTAACAAATCAGGCTATGGAGAGCAATTTTTATTAGATGGAGGGATCAATTTCATTGTATGGCATGTATGGGGGCGCTCACCCAATATGCAATTAATTGCATTGCCATCCTCTAGTTTTTTGAACTTAATCGGTGTATAAAAACAATCCGAAAATGCTAATTGAAGAATTTCTATTATCTGAGTGCATTGGATCTCTTGTATCATATTCTCGGTTAGAAAGAATCAGGGACGGAGCCGGGATGTAAGATAAGGGGGGCAAAAATGAATTTTGGGTGGGCAATAGTGGCATTTTTTTAGTAATTTTAAGGGGCAAATGTAATATTTCATGGGTATATTATTAAAAATAAACAAATTATAAGGATAAATTACTAAAAAAAAAAAAAAAAAAAATTCAATGGAGGCAATTACTTATATGTAGTTCGGTCCCGGAAAAAATCATTATCCAAAAAAGAAATAACACTTTCATGTTTAGACGCTCGGAGTGAAGAAAATATTTTTGAGTAACGATGTCATTGGAATTATCAATCAATTATACCTTCTCATATATGTAAAAATGCTTCTATTTATGGTTAAAAACTTTTCTCTTCTGGTGATACCTTGACATCGATGTTATCAATCAATTATATTTTTTCACGTAAGAAAAAATATATTAAATTTATTTAATAGATTCTATCACTATGTGTTAGTATTTAATTACTTTGTGATACCATCTCATTAGAATAACACGAGCATTAAAGTATGTACAATACTTAGGTCATCACTAGTGAAGATCTACACCATAATCACCGCTGATGTGAACCAATAATAAATGAACATGTAATCTTTAATTACCAAATCAAATATGGTGAGTAGATACATACTTATAAAATCAAAGATAGCGAGAACCTAAGTATTGTTCCTAAAATATTTCCCTGTATCGATGTTTAATTAGTGATACAGAGGATCAATGCGAGTGCTAAAAAGAGAGTTGGGCGTTAGTACTTAATATATTTGAATTAATTGCCATATATGAGAAACAAAAAAAAAAAAAAAAAACAACCTTGCAGAGAAATTAAAATAGGAAATTAAAAATCCATTAAAAGCTTTTAGAGAGAGAAGGTTTAAGTCAGTCCATCTGCCTTCATTAACTCATATTGAATTCACTTAAATGCAGTATTCAAGGATAGGCATTCAGACACCTCGCTTTCTACAAACATCTTTTTCGTCACTCTCACCACCTGTTTCTGTTAAATGCTCCAACCCACCTCTACTTCCCTTCATTTAAGTTATACCTCTCTCTCTCTCTCTCTCTCTCTCTCGCTATATATATATATATATATATGCGTGTATGTCAGTGTTCGTGTAGGAGCCCATGCATGCAATGTCCAAGTACATGTTTTGATGAGAACTTTCAAAAATGTAGTATGAGAATAAATGTCAGAAGCTACTCTCATTACCAAAATTAATTTACTTCTGCACATATGATCTTCAAAGCATTTAATTACTGTTTGAAAATTTCATTTTGCAAAAATAATAATAAAAAAAAAAAAAAAACTACAAGTAAAAAATATAGGATGAAAGTTTGTGGCAGAGCAAAAACTATCTATATTTACCAATGGGCCATTAGTCTAGCTGGTATCACTTCTCATCTTTCGAAGGAGATCGAGGTAAGGGTGGAGCTCCATATAGGATGAAAGTTTGTGGCAGAGCAAAAACTATCTATATTCACCAATGGGCCATTAGTCTAGCTGGTATCACTTCTCATCTTTCGAAGGAGATCGAGGTAAGGGTGGAGCTCCATACGTGGGTTCGTGTGTGAGTTTTTAATTACCTAAAACTATGTATATTCACAAAATAAATAAACAACCTTGAATCCCCACATTATAGAGAAAATAAATTATGATGTTTTATTAATGAATAATTTACACTACATGCATATATATATATATATATATATATATATATATATCTATATCTATATATATTATACAAAACTTCCAAAATGGCATTACCTCCAAAAATTAATTTAAAAAATGAGATAAAACACAATCACCAAACTAAGACCAAATCAGAAATGGATATGGATTTTAGGTAATCTGATCTCACAGTGATTTGATTCGGTTAAAATTATACATTTATATTTATTACATTACAATATACGGAGTATTATATATGTGTGCAAAAAAACTGTCAACCTGAAAAACCAAACTGAATCGGACTGAATTGGACAGTCTAGATCAGTTCCATAGCGGTTCAATCCAATCACGATTCTAAAATAATAGAACTGGGAAATTTTGGTTGGATTAGGGTTCTACAGGATCGGCCAACCCTAGACCAAACCATTATAACATGTGTATATATATAACTATATACTACTCTTAATTTTGCTAGGGATTTCGGCACAACGATCAAACTTGAGCCAACATTCATCACCATCTTATTTGTTTTTGCTTCTCTCAATGTTTTAATTTTTGGGTACGTGCCAACATTTCTCCATTATATATCTCATTTTTTTTTTTTCTTTGCTCACGTCTCCTCATTCACTTTTTAGTTTTCATCGCTGCGAGATCCAGTTTTGATCAATCTCTCTCACGCAATCTTCAAAGTTCGGTCATCGCCGTCAATCTTTTATCGCTGCCATCAATGACATCATTTCTCACACTATCTCCCCTTCTCTCTTACTTTCAGTTCACAGATTTCTGAGTCTCACAACGTGTTTGCACCTCAAGCATAACTAACAAAGACAACGAATCAAGTTTTTTAGTTTTCAACCATAGATTTGTCATCCTTTTTAGTTTTATCAAGATTTAACCTTATTTTAATTTCTAGGGTTTTGCTTTTGGGTCTATTTCACCCATTTTCTCCTCTCTTTTTCTCTCTCTAATTTAGCCTTGGATTTGGGAATGTGTATGCTTTTATTGTTATTTTTGTTGTATATACAATTCAAGGGAAAAAAAATAAAGAAATAAAATTCAACTAGAACCGTGGAACCGAACCGAACCAAATCGTTTTTTCACGGTTTGGGCTGGTTCGGTTTCCATGGCTCAAATGGTCTGGTTCGGTTTCAGATTTTCTGGAACTAGAGGGAACGGGTTGGGTCCAAAAATCCTCAAAACCGGATCAAGTCGAACCGTGTGAAACCCTAATGTCATATTATCAGTTATATGCTATTATTTTTATATATCAATTAATTAATTATCTATCATTATATTCATTTGGTTGCATGGTTATATTGTGCCACATCCTATATATTAACTATTCTTTACCCCCATCTAAACTTATAAGGAAACATGTAAGTGGACAAGGTTTTAATCTGATTTCGATCCGATCCGAATTCGAGCCAATTAAGATATGGATTGGAATATTCAATCTGATAACCCGTTAAATATCCAAATTCCATAATTCGTTAGCTAGATAATTTAGATATAAATTTGGTTGATCCATTTCGATCG